GTTGTAATTTCTCCTCTTTCATTTCTGATTTTACTTATTTGTGCCTTCTCTCTTTTTTTCTTGGTGAGTCTAGCTGAAGGTTTGTCAATTTTGTTCATCTTTTCAAAGAACCATGAGCCTGCTATAGTTTTATGGACACTTTGGAAGATATGAGTCTCTTGGGTCAGAGACAAAACACAGTTTATCACTCACAGCAATAGCAGTGGCCAAAATGACATTATTTGCTCTGGTTCCTCAAGCCCCGCTTCCCAGAGAGTGAAGTGGACTAGATGACACCCGTACAGATAGTGGGTTACATTATAGAAGAGCAGCCCTTAGCTTGGGGAACCTGAATCTTTTATAAGAGGCAGTAAGCATGTCTGCCATTTGCTCCACAGGGGGAGACACTATCTCTAGCTTTCAGGGCTGTAGGGAAACTTTTCTTTTGTTCTGGAAGGAGACGTTATCTATATCATCCAAGCCTTTTTGTAATATAAACATCTTTGAGAAGATTATCGAGAACCAGGGACAATCAAGGTCTTCCTCACAAGACATGCAAAAGCACAAGAGAGCCATGGAGAATTATCTCCCATCATTAGTTTACTTAGACTTCTCTTGCCTGGTTTGATCTTGTGATTCCCTATTTGTAAAGGCATTTTCTTATAATGAACGAAGCATTTAGGTACCAGGGAAAATTTTTAAGAGAAAGTCACCTCTAAGCTGAATCTAAAATAATAAGTGAGAATTACAAGTATTACGTAAACTTTTAAGTGTTTCCTCATATTGCAGTACCTCCTCTGTTGTTATTTTATAGCCAGAGAATTAAAAAATTCAAAAGGTTCTTGAAAGCAATCAGAGGAAACAAGAGGGAAGATAGAGTTTTTCTCCCTGAGAAGGTTCAGTGTGCCACATTTTGTTTTGAATAGAAATTTTAGCCGACATAGTAATTTTTAAATGAAAATTTGAACTATTACAGAAAAGTTGAAAGAATTGTACAGTGGTACAGCCATATACCCATCACCTAAATTTTACTATATTTGCTTTATTATGTATCTCTCCAAATCTCTATCCCTCTATTCATTTATCAATACATCTTCTTTTTTTGATGCATTTCAAAGTAAGTTGCAGACTTCAATACATTTCACCCCTAAGCACTTCAGGATACATATAAATAATGAGAGAATTCAATATTTTTGGATTGTTTTAAGGTAAAATGCTTACCTAGAGGGAAATGTGCACATCACAAGTATGCAATCTGATGAATTTTGAGAAATGCATATACCGGTGTAACCCAAAATCCTATCAGGATATAGAACATTAGCCTCACCCCAGAAAGTAAACTCATCCTTTTGCATGCAATCGATCCCCATCCTCATCCCCCAAAGGAAACCACCGTAATGATCTTCTTAAACTAGACATTAGTTTTGTCTGTTTTAGAACTTCATATAATTGTAATTAACACACAATGTAGTTTGTTTTCTTTCACTCAGAAAAATGTTTTTGAGATTTACCCACTTGTGTTAATCAGTAGTAGATTCCTTTCTATTCAGGAGTAGTAGTCTATTGTATGGATATGCCAAAACTTGTTTATCTGTTCTCCTGCTGATGGATACTTGTGCTATTTCCGGTGTTTAGCTATGAATAAAGCTGCTAATAAATATCATTGTACAATTCTTATTGTGTGTCCCATTTAAAAAAATTTGTTATGCATGGTTTCATGGGGGAAATATGTTTATAAGTTTCTTAACTGCTGTGTCATGTAAGGTTTGCTTTATCTTGTGTTTCCTTATTCATGTTCTAAAGGCCCATATCTTATTTGGTGTTTGCCTACAAATACACTGGACTTGTGGGGTTTTATTTATAGATTTACTCTTCTTGACTTTTCTCAGCAATTTTTTAAAAATATCTTCAGTTTATTTTTTCATTTTTTTCCCTTTATTTGCTCATTCCACAGTCATTTATGAGACACTGTGTTTTAGACACTCGGCCAAATTTTAGTGGTATGTCAAATTAGACACAGTTTCTTATCTCAAAGACTATCTAGTTTATTGGTGGAGGACACATCCACATCATCCACACACACACAGACACACACGACATGCAGTATGGCAAGAGCACTGAGTAGGGTCTCTTGGAGCACAGAGGAGAAGGGAGTGCAGTGCACTAGGTGGGCAGTGACAAGGTAAGGAGAAACTTCTGGGAGAAGTTGGATTTAGAGTAGCTTCTTGAATTTAGAGCTTAAAAAGATCATTTTGTGATCTTCGTTGGCATCTTTATTTAATGCATGAGTAAACTGAGACCTAGAGAGGTTCATTTATATGTCCAAGAGAGATGTTAGATAGGAATTAGAAACCACATCTCCTGAGTTCCAATCAAGTGTTTTTCCTTCTACAATGTGGTATTTCAATACATTTTCATAACCATTGATTGGCAGTCTACCATGTGCTAGGCCTTGGGTCATGTTTTGGAAATTAAAAAATGAACAAGATACAATTCCTATCATCAGGAAGTCCAGTCAATTAGTGGTGCTTACTATACACACACACACATATATATATATATCCTACCATATCAGCGATAGGAGCAAAATCCCATGTGAACACAGAGGACATGGCAATTAAAACCCTATGAAGCTAACATGATTTTATAAAGGGTTTTCAATGTTTTACTTTAAATATCACCTTGAGGATAACCAACAGGTTTCTGCCTCTCCTCCCCCCAGGAACATGTTGAATCAAATCTTCTGAAGGAAAGGCCACAAAAATCTCAGGTTTCTTTTCTAGGTCATGGCTGATGCCCTAAAGCTTTTTCCTGTAATATGCTGTGAGCTCCTTGAGGGCAGATATTTTGTACCCCTGAAAGTTAGTCCTGTTCCTGCAACACAGTGGGTGAATAAATATATGAATTATCAGTGGTTATTCCAAAAAATTAAGGCTGGTAAGCAGGAGACTTCAGGCAAGTCAGTGAGAGCGCTGAGATCTGCAGTCTGCTCTCCCAGGGGCTTGTCATCTCAGCAAAGGCAGGAAAAAGTGATATGTTGGTGTTCATGCTGTGATTTGTGTCTGTAATATTGTCCCTGTAGCCTTAACACTTGTTTGAAGTCTTGGACTTCTCCACTCAAATGAGACAAAACACAAAAGCAACCTTATTCTTCCTGACAGATACTCAGTATCTGCTTCCTATTATTTTCTCATTTTACCTCTCTACTTTAGACACACATCCATTTGCACCCAGGACTGGTCTGCCTCCTAGTTCCTTTATTTTAAAAATAATCCTAGTTCTCTTCATCTTTGTTTTCTTCAAAAGCATAGTCCCCCCACCTCATTCCAGCAGCCTTCAGAAAGCTTCTTGTAACTTTAACAACGAAAACATTGGGAGAAGTCACCTCTTATTTCTCTTTTTGCCTCATTAAAGAAGAACAATTTATTTTAATAGGCTACATTTTTGAATGTATTATATAACACATACCAGCAATGATATATTTGTGTTAAAATTTTGATTTATCTAAGGTGACGTGTTTTTAATATGTTTAGTAGGCATGTACCCAAAAGATTTTCCTAAATCACATCAGCGAACCTAAATGATCTTATGCCTTACTGGTGTTCTCCCTCATAATTTCTGCTGTCCTTTTTCTTATTATTTAGCCTATGTTATGTTGAGAATATTTAGTTTCTGTCAGTTCTATTTTGTCCAGAATTCACATGGCAAGGTCATCTATTTCAGCACCCAGGTCAGATGTCCCCTAAGGGAGGGTCTCAGTGGTTTCTTCACAAGAATCACAGCTACATATTTGTTGCAATCATGTGTTTGCTTCTATTTTGGATTGTCTGTCTTATCTCCTGGACATCAAAAGCGTCCTTCAGGGTAGGCATGCTATCTGTTTTATGTCTGCTACCCTTCTTTAAATGTAAAATCCTAATTACTAGTGGCAGGTACACAGATTAAAATAATTTCTAGAACTTTCCTTCTGGACACGTAAGATCCCAAAATCTTATTGGAATTTTAGTGAGTTGATTTTGTTTTAATATCTTTTTCTTCATAGGAAAAAGAAGACCATTTTGAATCCGTTCAACTGAAATCCTCAAGATCCCCAAATATATGAAAAGACAGTGCTGTAGCCTTCAGACTAATGAACAAAGAAACCTACTCTCTAGTTTTACAGGACCATAGTATAGATCCTGTCATCGTACCTGGCACGTTGGTGATCTCACCGAGGAGGGCCATGCCACTGAAAAGGGAAGGAGGTTGAAATGTTTGATTGCCTTATCACATGGTCAAGTATCTTGCCAAAAATAGGAAAGCAAATGGTTTGGGTCTCAACTGAAGATGAAGTTCAACTCAGGAAGAGGTTAATCTGTATATACACATAACTGAAAACCACCAGTGCACTGCTGATGCATGCCATGTAATTAATGGGTAACTTTTATTCTTTATAACTTCTACGTACAAAGTGCTTTGGAGGGCAGATGTGAGCATATGCATTGTGATCCCATTTATGTCTTGTCTTTGTTTATATTTTGGGGAAGATTTGAAAAATTTTTTAAGGTATAATTATTTTTCCCATTATTTATTTTCCTGACAGACCTTAAAACATCTTTTCTATTAAAAATGGTGAACAAAGAAAGACAATAAGTTTTTCATTTTTCTGTAGGGTATCTTTCTTAATTTCAGAAGCCTTAAGTAGGCAGTAATTTTTTAGGAAGAATCGGCATGTGTTTGGGTTTTCTAAACTTATATTCGCCTATGAAATTCCATCCTTGTTGGAACTGGTAAGAAGGGCTTGACTGAAAGTGTTGAAGAAATCTTAAAAAAAGGAAGACAAGGAGAAACCTTGACACAAACAAGCTGACACTCTCATAGAAGTTGAAACAGTTTATGTAGTGCTTGAAATATAATTAAAATGAGGGGGGAAGCTTGTTTATCAAATCACTTGCAAAATCATGAAGAAGAAAGTGGGATGGCTTGTGTTTAAGTACAGATAACTGTACAAAGACATTGGGATAATTTCATGGTCTTCAGAAAACAGCAGTGGGACATTTGCCCTATGTCAAGCATCAAAGGTTATATGGTTATTTTTCTGCTAAGACATTGAGGATTATAATTTCCATGGAAGCTTTTCTTTTTAAGTTAACAAGGCAGGAATTTAGTTTTTGAAAATTGCGTATAATTGTATTCATAATAAGACTGTGGGTGCACCATAAGCAGTTATGAAATAAGAATTATTGTTCTTATTCAAAAGTGATCCAGGTAATTGTGAAATTTCCTATGACGGATGGATTGCTAGTATTAGCACGAATTGAATGTTATTTGTTGAAAGAAGTTTGAATGAAGTTGGATTTGACCATTTTGTGTAAACCTTAATTGTTTTAGAACTGGGAAAGAGGGGGAGTTTCCTGCCATTGATGATCTAAGGTGCCCTGGTTTGTTTCCAATAAACAGTAATCTTTACAGGTCTTAATCCAGATTTTTAAATAGACTGGTGATTGGCTGAGAGAGACAGGGCATACAGACAGGCTTTGTTGAATGTTTTGCCCCACATCTTTCAATGAGGTGTGACATAACTTTTGATTTGGCAGGTGATGTCTTTGTTTTTGTGGAAAATGGGAGAAAAATAAATAATTGTGTTTATTTGGCTGGTGGGTAAAACATTGGACCATTCTGTTATTGTTGAATGAATGTTTGTTTTGTGTACATCTCTACTGTTGGATTCATGAGTATAGGTGAGATTGCCATTATTTTACTATTTGTTGTGAAATTCGGGGGAGGGCATCACTTAGCATAAACCTTTTTCATGTTTAATTTCTTAAATCTTATTAGAATGAAGAAATCATTTTTGCATTGCTCATTTTTATCCTGCTAACAGTGCTGATGAGCCTTTCCCCTTCTTGATCAAAATTTAAACAGAAGAATGAAAATACACTTGAAATGCATCCTTTCAGAGGAATGCTGGCAAAGTGGTGCAGGCTGGACAGATTCAGGAAGTTTTCATGTAGTCACCTGTCACCTCTCATCTTCAGCTGTGCTCAACATGTATGTTCCAAGCCATAGAGATAATTGGGATTTGCTCCCAGGTAGTTTCTTTCTTCTACTGTCACTGGACTAAAATCTCTGACATGTCAAAAATGCCTTAAATTTTAATGAACTCTCTGAAAATGTAGTTGGTATTGGAGAATTTATTTATCTTATTGCTAATTTTAGATGTTAAATAGATTTTGTCAGCTCAATCCCATCTTTGGAAAGGAGCTGCCTTTTTCCTTTGGATCCCAGTGGTTTGTCATTTTATTCCAAGCCTTGCAGGAGTATGAACAAATATTATGAGGAAAATATTCAGACCAATCCTGGCTATAAAATTCACTTTAGTTTTATGTCTTGCCTTTGCAGAGCTCAATGGAATGTTGAAAGGCATAAAGAAATTAATCATGTTTCTAGGACTTTTAATTGATACTTGTTGTTCCTTTTCCCCCCTAAGTGGCAGAAGTTGTTATTTTTCTAAAAGGCACAGTTTTGAAGCCTTAAATACTTCATTAAGTCAAGTGTCACCTATAATATCTCTTAGCACTCTTTCAAAACATATTTAAATCAGTTTTCCACTGGATGAGACCATGTCTTCTACGGATAAATTATATCATGCTATTTAACAATGTTGAGCAACTTTATATGTGTTTACTTGATTTAAACGATTGAATTTTATTCTTGTTGACTTTTCCCTTCTTTGGTTACTGGTAATCAAGTCCTTTCCAGGATTAAAAACATTTCATAGTATTTTTCTGTAGACTTTTGTCATTATTTTCTTCCCAAGAAGAAAATGTGGTTTAAATAGTTATGTGGAAGAATTGCTTGGGTCCAGTCATTTACCAACTTGGGGTCTCCAGGTTCCCAGGTGGTGAGTCATGATTGACTGGTTCCTCAAGGCTGATCTGGTTAGCTGTCTTATTTGACATCTATCAACAGAGCTACTTCCTGTGGCTCGTGGAAATTCATAATGGGAGGCTAATGTGCAGATGGTTTCTCTCTTCCTCATGAAAGTAAATTTCCTAGGAGACTTCATTGGCAAGTTTAAAGTCAGTGTATTGCTCACATTTCTTTTTTTTTTTTTTTGATGAGGAAGATTAGCCCTGAGCTAAAATCTATTGCCAATCCTCCTCTTTTTGCTGAGGAAAATTGGCCCTGAGCTAACATCTGTGCCCATCTTCCTCCATTTTATATGTGGGATGCCTGCCACAGCATGGCTTGATAAGCGGTGCGTGGGTCCGCACCTGGATCTGAACCTGCCAACTCTGGGCCGCTGAAGCGGAGCACGCAAACCCAACCACTACACGACCGGGCCAGCCCCCACATTTATCTTTTTACACAAAAGATGTGTTGAGTAGAACTTCTTCAGAGGACTTAAAATACCCTCACATCATTTTACAGTAACCATGAATATTATTCTTAAGTTTATAGGCCTAAGTCCTAAATTAAGGTTTCCCTAAAGAAAAGGTCCCAAGAGGAGTAAACTTAAAAAAAAAAATCTCAACAACCAATTCATTACTTGGACACTAAAATGGAGTTCACCTTCACAGTAAGTGGCTAGAGATTACACTCTTGCTGGATTTTATTTCTTTTGGTTTGACATTTTCAAATGCTTTTACTTTAGGATCATAAATGAAGGAAGTAAAACTTTAAGATGGGGATGAATAATTGAAAATTAACTGATACTACTATTAGGATGAATATTATTATTAGAATTGATATTACTATTGCAATTCTCTAGATCAGAGGCCAGCAAAACTTTTCTGTAAAGAGTCAGATGGTAAATATTTTCAGCTTTGCAGGACATGTGGTCTCTCTTGCAACTCCTCAACTCTGCCATTGTGCATGAAAGCAGCCACAGACAATATGTAAACAGTGCTTGTGACTGCATTCCAATAAAACTTATGTACACTGAAATTTGAGTTTCATTAAGTTTCACTTATGAAATATTATTCTTCTTTTGATTTTTTCCCAACTATTTAAAACATGGAAGTGTTCTTAGCTCACAGGCTTTATAAAAACAGGTACTAAGCTAGGATTTGACATGTGAGCTTTGGTTTGCTGACCCCTGGTTTCCATCACTGTAACCCAGAAGCAAAACTATTCAGAAGAATCTGTTTGCACATAGATTCTTTGCCCTTTAGGAGCTTACTACTTTAAAAGTTTCTCAAGTCTCTAGAGATGTTCAAGAAGAAAATAACCTATCACCATCCCTTGATTTAATCACCACCCAAAGACAAAGCCAGATACTCTTCTGAGTTCCTCTTGTAGTTCTGAGACTCGATTATGGATGCTGATTAGCAAATGATAAAGCTACAGCAAGTGAATTGGTTGAAAGTAAACCAGCAAGACTGATTTAAAAGCCTTTCCTTGTTTGGGTTTATATAACATCTATTGCTAAGGTAACTGGATTTGGAGATTAATATTCAATCTTACATACAGATCCATTTAAAGTAACCATATGGAAGTAGAGGATATTGATGCATGAAAGTAGCTTCAGCATAGATTCTTGAGCTCTGGCACTGGAGAGGGTCCCCTGGTCTATTTGCATGCATTCAGGCAGCCACACCTCAATACACATACATTTATCAAATCCTATTAAGACTTACAAAAGACATTTAGGATTCCTTTAATGGTTGGTGGTTCAGAAAACAGACCTCTAATTTTCTTCAACAAAATGTCCCAGTAAGGCTTTTCATTTGCTGGAATTTTCCTCATCCTATTAATGACTCTTGGAGAAGAACTCTGTCTAAAATCGCTTGTGGATATTGGTAAATTTGGTTTGGAGGAGGGCAATATTTCCTTTATCTCAGATGGCTGATGTCAGATTACCATTGGTTGGGTTAAATAAATGAGTTAAACCAGTGGGAATTATGCAAATCTAAACTTTCTGTTATAGAACAGGAGTGATAATTGCCTTATTCATGGGTTTAGGCCTTTGTTATTGGTGCTAGGGCAGTTATAATCCACACTGTTGTTCCATCTTCCTCGTACCTCACTTTTCTTGGCTTCTCAATGGTTACAGCCCTTTGCTGAAGAGCTCTGGGGCCCAAAGCTATCATGGTGGATGAGTGAATAAAGCAGGGGGCTAGTTGAGAGAAAGTGTGAAGTTGAGGACTCTGAAGGGGCACTGGTTGAATTACCTCCTTTCTCAGCCACTCTCTTAATCTGTCCTCTATGTGGTCTGCAAACCAGCTTCTCTCACAGCTTGAAAATGAGACCTTTTTATTTTACCATGATAAACCTGAGTGGGCAAGAGAATCTATTAATATTTAACCTAGAGAGCACACAGAGCATTCAGAAACTGTAAACACCCAGAAAACCAACGATAACCATACCATTAGGTTCTGATATGTTTTTTATGAGTGGGATATATCATTCTGCTTGAGTTCCTTAAATTCAGGAAGTTTTTGCAAAGATGGATCGGCTCAACCAGTTTTGTATTCTGGAAGGATGAAATGTTACTGGAGTAAAAAAAAAAAAAAAATCAATCCAGAACTTATTTGTTTGAAATGGTCTATATAAAAAAGATTTTATAGCTGCTATTTTCCATACATACTCTGAATGTTTTTTAAAAAATATTTCTCAGGATCACATGTTAGATGATGCACC